GAACTAACATTTTTTTTTTTTCATTTAAAAGCAACACTGTTGCTTTACAACAGCAACATCACACTGATTTGTTGTTTGACATATACCTGTTCACATTGCATAACATCCAAGTACAAAGTGTCCTAGAGGAAGGAAAATGTCAATTCAAATATGTCCAAATAGTATGTATTGCAAAAGTAACGTTTATAGCTGTTGTACTGGCTGATTCCTCCCCTCTTGAGGGGCCCCGTAAAGTCTTTAACTGTTGGTGGTATGCGGTCACATTGACAGAGCATCAAAAGCAGAAGTGAAACCTGTCATGTGTACTCAGGACAGAGAGAGTAACAGTAAGAGTGGCCTCTTCTTTGAACCTTATCAATGATGAACACTTTCAGTTTTACTCAACCTGTTGTATCATTTTTCTAAACATCGTTAGGTTTAAATCGTACGGCTAGCACTAATAACATCTGAGATGAAATCAATCTGTAACCTTCAAAGTATTAAATATTGTTTTTATAGAATGCATAGTAGTATATTAAAGGCAGGGTATGTGATTTTTCAAAAACACTTTAGAAAACTGATTCGGGCCGAATAGCAAAACAAACTTGTAGCCAATCAGCAATAAGGGGTGTGTCTACTCGTCATCAACTATGAATGAAGAATACTTTTACAGCATTTAGTAATCTTGGTTCATGTTCTTTACATATACGAAAACATGTTCACTTTAGTATTTTTGTAAATTAACATTAACCAGGGAAAACTTGAACCGATAAAATGTATACCTTAAATGCAAAGTAAGTGACTTTGGATACATTCTTTTGTCAAATGCATAAATATAAATATATAAATACAAACCAAGACAACTACTGTAAATGATTAAAAATAAATTCTGTGTAAAATTTAGCTTATTGTTAGTTATTAGTTAGTGATGCCGTATTTAAACGTATAGTAAAGTGTATATTTATATACTATTTTTGAAACAAATTCTCCGTGCATTAATGAAAAACAGCAAAGAAATATAAACCAAGATTAATAAATGTCTAAAAAAAATAATTATTGCTTGCTTATTGTTACCTGTTAGTTAATCATGCCTAATGCATTAATTAATGTTGATGTATTGAAACATAAAGTGCATACTTGTATACATTTTTATGCTAATATTTATGCCCATTTTTCTTCATGCATCAATACACTGAAAAACAGCAAAGAAAGTCAAATGTGTGCATACCCTGCTTTCTGACCCAGATGGTGAAATGATTGACTTATACTCTTATTTCCTACGTTTTCTGTAAGTTGTTTGCACTTCTGTGGGCCTGTTCAAATGCTTCCCACACTTTCTTATATGCAAAAGAGGAAGTTAACCAGCTAAAGAAGGATGAAGGTAACTCAGTAACAGTCTCACAGGAAGAGGATTCTATCTGCTTCTGGTGAATTGGCCTTTTCCAGTGAGGTATCAGTTACAGTCTGTGACTCCAGATATGCCAGAGCATCAGTGGGTGATGTTCACTAGGACCCCTGAGGAGCAGCATTTTCACAGTTCAAAACTGTGACTATCACCGATTTACAGGCAAACCTCCCCCTTCCCCACCACACACACCACGCGCCTCTAAGCAAAAAATTAGGCCACCGCTTGTGTTGCAATGCTTGATTGCCTGCAGAGAACAGTGTTAGGTGGTGTCTTGTTATCTTCTTTCTCTTCCTGCACTGGACTTTTCCACGACATTCTAATTTATTGAGATGCACCTGTATATACACCCCTGATATAGCTATGTTGAGTGTAATGTGCATTGACATTACTACTGAGCACTGCTCTCTCCTGTCTTTGTCTATTGTGCAATATTCATTTCATCTCATTTCATAAGTGGAATATATACAAATATTAAAAGCACTCTAGATCAAAGTGTGAACGACACACTAAAGGCCTGGTTCTAATATAGAAAGGTTAGATTATACGGGGCCGGCTGCTGAGAAGGGAAGTGAACTGAGCGATGTAGTAATGCTGTACATCTCTCTGGAGTTCACTAGGTCTTGGTACACTAGCCTCATTCAATGGCCTCTAGGTGGCAACATTTATAGGACATTCAAAATACATGCAGCTCTGTACATTTGAGTCACCACTGCTTATCAGTATTTACTTCTTTGCTCATTTACCTAATGTGTTATGCATCCTGAATTATCATTGAATTCAAAGTCAATCAGAATTGTTGCTTCTCAATTTTTAACCTATATATATATATATTTTTTTTAGGTAGGCTATATATACATAATTTATATGATCATTTTCATTAAATACTGTTTTAAAGATCATTAGTGTGTTGGAAAGCCCTGAAAATCAAGTTGCACTTGAATGAGATTTTAAAAGTGCGAAACTCATTTTGTATCTTTAATATGAGATCATGAAAACCGCATGCATACCAATAATGGATATTAAGCGCTGTTTAAACAGTTTAAGAAGACGTAGAGCATATCACACTCTACAGTGAACAAGTATGAGAATTCTATTTTCCCTTTGTTGCATTCTGAGGTCAGTGGTTGTAGGGAATGCAGGATTCCGCCCATATGTTGAATTCGCGGAAGACTCATAAATCATTCCCGCCACCTAAGAAGGAGGGGTAACCTCTGCACGTGTTGAGCCGGATGCGATTCTTTTGTTACGTAACCAGCGCCTATATCTTCCTCATATGCCTTTTAGTCACTTCTCAACTTTTAAATAGTAATGGTTATTTACTTTCTTATTCTGAGTTCTTAAGAAAATATTGTATTCCTGTCACCCCACGTGATTTTGCCATAGTTATGGACGCCATTCCCAGGAGCTATTGCACTTTTAAAAAACTCTGTTGATTCTGTACCCTCCTTTATTTTCCTGACTAATCCCTGTGAAACAGTGATAGGGAAAATTAGCTTTGCGCTCAGCCCTTCTTTCAGGAATAGAAAGATTCGATATCTTTTTCAGAATGTTTTAACTACTGTTCCTTCTATTGTATTTCACTGGAGTAATTATCTTTATGATATTCCTTGGAAGAGTGTGTGGTCGTTACCCAATACATATTTAATTACGAACAAGGTTAAAGAGGTATCCTTTAAATTGCTACATCGAGCTTACCCTGTGAATGTTTATATTAAAAAAATGCTTCCGGAGAAAGATCCTCTTTGTTCCTTTTGTGGAATGGTAGATGAGCCTATCTCTCATCTCTTTTGGGAATGTACCCATGTAACCATTTTTTGGAAAAAAAAAATTTGTTTATTTATACGTTCTTCTCTCTTAGACAATTTTTCTTTGTTGTACAAGGATGTTTTATTTGGTTTTTATCATGTTGATAAGAATCTAAAGGACAAATATTTTCGAGAGAAAAAAAAAGCCTTTTAGTCACTCTAAAATTCATATTCCTATCCCTTAAGTCGCGCGAGATCTGCTATAAGGAGTGTCTGTTTGAGAACACTAACGTTATGTCCTTGTATACATATATTAGCCGCCAAAACAGACCACAGCACAACGTGATCGCAGCATTCTTTCTCTTTTTTTATAGACACTACTATCGCTATTGCAAACCCGGCATTTGTGAACACTAGCACACGTGTGTGAATTACAACCACCCTTCTCTTTCTTGGAATTGTACGGTTCATTGAGTGCAAGAGCGCTCCGCCGGGACACTAGGTCCGGCCTATATTCCCTTCATTCCTCCGCGGCTATTCAGTAGCTTTTCCGTGAAGGATTTTATTGCATATAAAGCTACAGACTATAATTAGGCATAGTCACTATGAGAGTTTTCATTCAACATTTGTCGAATAGGTTTTGGCGCGAGTTTTCTGACGCGGAGGAATTACGGCAGTACATCGCCCTTTAAAATTAAATGGGCTTTATCCGTCACCACACCCACTGCCAGCTTCTGTCCGCGTGGGCTCCGACATGCAGCAAGGAGGATCTGCGGTTTTTCACCGTTTTTAAAAATAATTTTATATACAGTTGTTTTAGATTGACCGACGGTTTCCATCGATTTTATTCGCCATAGTGTTTGGAAAAAAGGTAAGACGTGACTTTTTTTGTGTGCTTTCGTGCGCGTGGTCTGTCTACCGGCTTTTCCTCCATATGATGTTACAGCGTGAACCACTCGCTTACTTTTGCAGCGCATTACTCGTAAAGAAGTGTTGGAAAGTTTCTCCTTAAAGCTTTATGGATAACTTGTATTACTCTTGCTCCGCTATTTAATGCGCAATTATAAAATGCACAATTATTTTCATTCAAAATCTGTTCTTTCACTCACACATCAATTTACCTGTATTTTGTACAGTGTGTGTATATATATATATATATATATATATAAGTATCAGCTTCGTTCTCTTTAAATAGTACTATTTTAAGAGTTTGATCATTCTTGCAGATATGAACATTGTTCTTTAAAATACTTTTAAGCCAGTTTTTTATCATAGCAATACTCGGAAACTTGTTTTTAGTAAAAACACTTTAATTGATGCCACATGAATATAGAAAAGAAGCATTTGAAGATATGCACGCAAGTAATATCAATGACAAAATAGTTTTACATGAATTGCAAATCCTTTGACAAACATGTTTTACCTCGTTTTTTGGTTATTAGCGTTGAGAAATCAAATGTATGATTTAAAATTTTTTTTTTTTTACGTGAAAATTTTGGAGTGGAACAAACCCCAGTGCGGGACCTTTCCAGCTGTTCAGTGACATCACTGGCACCGGCAGACTAGCCCCGCCTATCTGGGCGGAGTCACCATTGTAAACATTAATAAAAATGAGCGCGCGCGAGCCGGGAAACTTTACAATCGGCAGTGCATGAGAACAACACTTCGCAGGCCGCTTAGAAACAACCCGCGTTTACTTGATAGCTAAAAGCCGGGTGGACGCTTACTTGTGGATGCACGCTTTCTCTCATTTCAAAGGATTCATTTCTCGTGCGTTTCTCTGACAGGTTTCGCGAAGATGTTGCAGGTTTGTTCTCCATCGCACGATTGGTTCTGCGACTCCGAGCCGCTGCTGTTTGACGATGAGTTTTGCCTGAGTCTCATGAAGGACTTGCAGTCCATCCCCACGCCACCTCAGTCCCCTCCGATGAAAACCGGGCTCTCAAAGAGTTTATCCACGGTGGATCAGCTGGAGTTAGTATCTGAACTTTTAATAGACGACAGCGACTTTCTCCAACTGGACTGGAACTTTACCGGCAGCGCTTCAGCAGCGGATTCGGATCCGCTCTCGGAGGACTACCTGTGGCAAAGCGACAAACCGATCGAGGATAAACTCTCCGCGGTGCTCTCCACAAGCCCCTTGCTCTCCGATATTGACACTGAGATTTTTGCCGAAATCGCCGGCTCTACTCTGGATTGCCACAATGTGGCGCTCGCCTGTCAGGCTCTGGAGAGCGAGGACTTACCGCTGGACAGCCAGGAGCAGATCGAGTCCACGTCTGATTATGGCTCACTGTCCACTGGAGGAGAATCATCTACAAGCGATTCTGGTGAGTCTTTTGATTCATTTACCAAGTTTATTTTGCTATGATGGAAGTTAGTGTCTTAAAACTGGATTTTAAGTTTGCTCTAACTCTGTATTAACTGTTGTGCCATTATGTTTGTGCTCAACAGAGGAGGAGATTGACGTTGTGACTGTCCAGCGGTCGAACACGCTGACGCGTTCGCAACACCAGCAGCAGTTGGAGGACAGTCGGCGTGAGCAGCAGCGTGCTCTGAAGCGCTGTCACTTAGAAATCCAACAACAGCACAACTACGCCGCCCCACGGCCCGCCTCTCCTCCGCCCCCGCCCTCCCCCTGTTCCACGCCCCCTCTCAAACGCTCCCGAGGGTCCGGAGACTCCCACCGAAGCGCTCAGAATACGGGACGCTCTCGCAGTCTGGCAGCGCGACAGGGGGCGGACACTGAGGATGAGGAAGAGAGACGGAGGACTCACAATGTGATGGAGAGACAAAGGCGCAACGAGTTAAAGAACTGCTTCCTTAGGCTACGGGACAACGTCCCTGAACTGTCCAATAACGACAAGGCGTCCAAGGTGGTGATTTTAAAGCGGGCTAAAGAAAGCATCAGAAATCTGGAAATGGAGAACCAGAGACTAAAGCAGAAGAGAGAGAAACTTCGAGAACGACAAGAACAGCTGAAAGCCAGACTGGAGCAGCTCAAGAGGTTGTGAGGGTCTGGGACTAAACAATGCCAGTTTGGTCACTAGATAATGGTCTGGGACCCTGCTGGTTTGAGGACTGTGACACTTGTGACTGACTGTAAAGACTTTGACGTCTCTGAGGAGATTCTGGATCCCCCCACCACCCACCATTAAGTTTCTTTTGGAAACACGCATGGTCAATGCAAGAAACGTTCTCAATGTTGTGACTTTACAATGTGCTAAAGTCATTTAGTTCTTAAATATTAACATGAAACGGTTTTGTATACTGTATGTTGGATGAATAATCAGTTAAACGTATAGTTAGCCTTAAAAGAAACACCCTAGATGATCCTCACACATTCTACCTTTTTGTTCTTGGCATATACTTGTTATATTTTGGGCTGGATCCAAAGGATGTTAAAAATAAGGGGTTGAATGTAATTTGAGATGATTCCGTTTTTATAGACTAAAGTTTGCATTTGTTGATGTTCAGACTGGAAAGATAAACTATATTGGATTCATGTTCATGCATAGCTCGTATTGTTGAGGTCTGGAGTTATGGAGCATATTCATATTTGAATCGCACTATTTTTTGACTCCACGTGTCTTTACTTTGTCAGTTATTGTATGTTCCCTCCCATTTCTATGTTTATCTACCTCTACTAGGAAGAAGCCTGGCTATTTTATTGCCTTCATAATGGCAACTGTATAGATTTTTTTTTATGTAAATACCACCTGTTAATTATGTATTATAAATTATTTAGGCTTTTTCTTCTTGGTTCATTTGCAGGTTTTTGAAGAAAAAAAAAGTTCTGTTTATCTTCAACTGCACTTTGTTTTATAAAGTAATAAAGAATGAGCAAGATGACATGTTGTGTTTGGATCTTTTTACTGGCAGCATGCAGAAAATCACATCAGAACAACATCAACTTAAAGATTTCAAGGTGTGGTTTCTTGACAGGTGAAATTGTTGGCACACACAGAGTTGCACAAGAATAAAACCTTTAAAGAAAAGCAGGAATGTTTGAGTGATGGAATTGGGGTCAAGGTGAGGGGGTGGCAGGGTTGACCTTTTTTGAAAGTCTAAAGGGCCTGATTGCAGCGGGTCAATAAAACACTGTAGGAGTTACCAAACTGAAACACTGAGCACAAACTTGCCCCATATGAATCCCATAAATGAACATATATGCATATGCCTTGTTTTATAGTGAACCGAATTATGAAGCATAAACCATATATTTTAGTGTGACTGGTAAAAACGGTTCATTTGGTTTAATGTATTTCTTCATTTTCTACCATACGCCTCGAAGTTGTTATGAGGATCTGTCATTTCTCATTACATAATTTACAATTATCCGAATGAATATTTGAAAGTCAAATTCATGCTAGAATTCAAAAACACTTGATGCCAGAGGCACTGTGGGTAAATATTTGACTTACTGCCCTAGTTGGCTCTTGAAGAGAAGCAAAGTTGCATGATTCATGTAATGTTTAATGAAATGTCTAAAAACACATTTTTGTATTTGATAAATGGTGCTATAAAAAGAAATAAGTATATATAATAAAGAAATTGATGCTTTTATTCAGCAAACATTTATCAAAAGTGACAATGTAAAAGATTTTGATTTCATATAAATGCTGTTATTTTGAACTTTCTATTCATCTGGAAAAAATTAATCAGTTTCCACAAAAATATGAAGCAGCTCAACTGTTTTCAACATTGATAATAATAAGAAATGCTTCTTGAGCAGCAAATCAGCATATTAGAATGATTTCTGAAGGATCATGTAACACTGAAGACTGCAATGATGCTAAAAATCCAGCTTTTCCATGAGAGGAATAAAGTACATTTTTCCTCAGAACACCAAGCAAGTCCTGGCTGAAGCACTGATGATTTTGCATCAAGTGTCAGAACGGGGTTTTACTTAAGTCTCCTTTCATCTTTTGTGCCTAAACCTGTTGGGTCATGGATGCTTTGGAGAGAATGAAAGTGAGGTTTGTCTCCTGACAATCTGCATTGTGAAGTCCCCATTCAGTCTTTAAACATGTAAATGTGCTGTCATCTAGACAACTGGCTCCTGAACCGTTCTGAAGCTGTAGACAGAGAGGTGCTAAAGCAACCAAAGCGAGACCATTACGAAAAAGACAAGATCTGGAAAAAGAAAGCGCTCCCAGTTAGTTTCATGTTTAAGTCTCTGTTCAATCATATAGCCAATGTGCTAAAGTCATTTAGTTCTTAAATATTAACATGAAACGGTTTTGTATACTGTATGTTGGATGAATAATCAGTTAAACGTATAGTTAGCCTTAAAAGAAACACCCTAGATGATCCTAACACATTCTAACTTTTTGTTCTTGGCATACACTTGTTATATTTTGGGCTGGATCCAAAGGATGTTAAAAATAAGGGGTTGAATGTAATTTGAGATGATTCCGTTTTTATAGACTAAAGTTTGCATTTGTTGATGTTCAGACTGGAAAGATAAACTATATTGGATTCATGTTCATGCATAGCTCGTATTGTTGAGGTCTGGAGTTATGGAGCATATTCATATTTGAATCGCACTATTTTTTGACTCCACGTGTCTTTACTTTGTCAGTTATTGTATGTTCCCTCCCATTTCTATGTTTATCTACCTCTACTAGGAAGAAGCCTGGCTATTTTATTGCCTTCATAATGGCAACTGTATAGATTTTTTTTTATGTAAATACCACCTGTTAATTATGTATTATAAATTATTTAGGCTTTTTCTTCTTGGTTCATTTGCAGGTTTTTGAAGAAAAAAAAAGTTCTGTTTATCTTCAACTGCACTTTGTTTTATAAAGTAATAAAGAATGAGCAAGATGACATGTTGTGTTTGGATCTTTTTACTGGCAGCATGCAGAAAATCACATCAGAACAACATCAACTTAAAGATTTCAAGGTGTGGTTTCTTGACAGGTGAAATTGTTGGCACACACAGAGTTGCACAAGAATAAAACCTTTAAAGAAAAGCAGGAATGTTTGAGTGATGGAATTGGGGTCAAGGTGAGGGGGTGGCAGGGTTGACCTTTTTTGAAAGTCTAAAGGGCCTGATTGCAGCGGGTCAATAAAACACTGTAGGAGTTACCAAACTGAAACACTGAGCACAAACTTGCCCCATATGAATCCCATAAATGAACATATATGCATATGCCTTGTTTTATAGTGAACCGAATTATGAAGCATAAACCATATATTTTAGTGTGACTGGTAAAAACGGTTCATTTGGTTTAATGTATTTCTTCATTTTCTACCATACGCCTCGAAGTTGTTATGAGGATCTGTCATTTCTCATTACATAATTTACAATTATCCGAATGAATATTTGAAAGTCAAATTCATGCTAGAATTCAAAAACACTTGATGCCAGAGGCACTGTGGGTAAATATTTGACTTACTGCCCTAGTTGGCTCTTGAAGAGAAGCAAAGTTGCATGATTCATGTAATGTTTAATGAAATGTCTAAAAACACATTTTTGTATTTGATAAATGGTGCTATAAAAAGAAATAAGTATATATAATAAAGAAATTGATGCTTTTATTCAGCAAACATTTATCAAAAGTGACAATGTAAAAGATTTTGATTTCATATAAATGCTGTTATTTTGAACTTTCTATTCATCTGGAAAAAATTAATCAGTTTCCACAAAAATATGAAGCAGCTCAACTGTTTTCAACATTGATAATAATAAGAAATGCTTCTTGAGCAGCAAATCAGCATATTAGAATGATTTCTGAAGGATCATGTAACACTGAAGACTGCAATGATGCTAAAAATCCAGCTTTTCCATGAGAGGAATAAAGTACATTTTTCCTCAGAACACCAAGCAAGTCCTGGCTGAAGCACTGATGATTTTGCATCAAGTGTCAGAACGGGGTTTTACTTAAGTCTCCTTTCATCTTTTGTGCCTAAACCTGTTGGGTCATGGATGCTTTGGAGAGAATGAAAGTGAGGTTTGTCTCCTGACAATCTGCATTGTGAAGTCCCCATTCAGTCTTTAAACATGTAAATGTGCTGTCATCTAGACAACTGGCTCCTGAACCGTTCTGAAGCTGTAGACAGAGAGGTGCTAAAGCAACCAAAGCGAGACCATTACGAAAAAGACAAGATCTGGAAAAAGAAAGCGCTCCCAGTTAGTTTCATGTTTAAGTCTCTGTTCAATCATATAGCTCTTTGTTTCAATAACAAATGTTTATTTATTTTTTTAATCTTTATTGTCAGCCATTAAATTTCACACATTTAATGTTGTGAATGTTAAGATCAAAAGTTGCAACATCTGTAGGAGGGTTAAACACACATCAGTGCATGTTTAGCTTGTGTCCTGAGGCTGTTCAGTAGGAAGCAGGAAAACGTCCTGGCAGATTCCAGAGCATTCCAAAAGACCGTCTTTAAACCAAAGCCCTCCAAAACACAGGGAATCACCTCAGGTCTGATCGTAAAGAGATAAAGTTCCATCAATAACTTTTATAATCCATGGAACCTTTCCATTCCACCAAAGTTCTTTAGATTATTAAAATGTTCTGTGTAACAAGAAAAATGGTTCTTTTTAGAATGTTTTCAATGAAAGATTCTTTGGGGAACCAAAAATGGTTTTTCCTTGGCATCACTGTGAAAACCCCTTTTTTGGAACCTTTATTTTTAAGAGTGTATTTGTTTAAAAAAAAACACCAAATGAAACTTTTTCAACAAGTCTGTAAGATACACATCTGTCACCGCATGTCAATCTAGCCATTTTCTGCTTTGTGTGAACGTGTTTTTATCAGCGCTTGGGCTTTAACCTGTTGGTCTGATGTGGACTGACACGGTTGTGTTTGCTTTCATCACACTAAAGTGTCTCTGGCCATATGCTCCCTCACAGGAAGGTGACAAGAGACAGGAGCCATGTTTGCGCTGGGACGTTTCACTGCCTTCCTCGTCATTAAAACATGAAAGCAGATTTTAAAGCTGAAACAGCCTCTTTAAAGAATATTGACCATAAAGGTCACAAACGCATTTATTCATTACAATAGTTCATGCCAAAGAGATCAGCATCCTCCCAAAACATACTTTTAAGTATTAAAATGCAATCATTATGTCTTATAAAACCTGGACCCGGAAATGGTGAACTTGTATTACTAAAGGGCTAAAACATGATTTATGACCGCATTTTACATGCACAACTGACAAGTAGATATGTCAGCAATGCACCTTCAGAATCTTCAGAATTAAGATTTTGAGACATAAATGACTGACGGCTGTTTTTGGAAAAAATGCTTTTCGAGAGGTAGCAGTCACTGAAGGTCACGCTCCAGGGCTCAGCACAAAAATGCCACATAGCCAGTGAAATCCACACGCTACGCTGATACGCGCGGAGTGGTAGACAAGTACAGGTGTGAGATCTGTTTGAGGCCGGGATACACCCTCTGGGCTGTGTGGAAGAGGACCGTCCTGGATGCATGTGTGGAGCTGGGAAAGTATTTTGAGGACAGTTTGAGATCAATGCATGTGTGTGTTTTTGCAACAAACCCCGAAAAGTTAAGCCCTGGGAATAATGGCAGCGGTTTACTTGCGTTTGGAATACACTACACAACCTTTGAACAGATTTTTGTCTGATCTGCAGTCTGGACAAGTCAACGCAAAGTTGACAAAAAAGTTAGAGTCAGTCCACAGATTTTGGGCAGTTGGACTTGACCGATTTCACACAAAAAAATCACAGTTTATATCAGGCAGTTTTTTGCCATTTACAAAGTCGGCAAGTGTATGATGCCTAATGTTTAAAAATCTCTTCAGATTTTAAAAGTCATGTAGTGTATTCCAGCTTTTAAAGGGATAGTTCAGCCAAAAATAAAAATGAAGTCATCATATACTTACCCTCATGTTTTTTTTAACTGTTTGGCTTTCTTCTACAGAACACAAAAGATATTGTTTTAATTGTTTTTGTTCATACAATAAAGGGTTCCAAAACAGTATTTTACCATATTGACTTTCATTGAAACAAAAGATATGTCAAGAATATATTTAACATTTCTTCTGCAGAAGAAATACAGGTTTGGTACGTCATGACTTCTTTTAACTTAAGGACCGCTGGGAAACATTACCTAAATGAATGCAATATGAAATCAAAATTGACCCTATTAAATGCACATTATTGAGCATGATTCATCAGTTGCATGTTGTCTTCGCAATCTTATCAAAAAAGTAATCCACTTTCCCAACCTCTCCCTTCCAACTGCCTGCCATAAACAAATAGCTTTTCACAATCCAATTAAAACCTGTCTCATTCATCATCCTATTCTCACTGAATATCTTATTTCATTCTAAAATACACTACATTATGAAAGTACAATGGGATTTGAACACCGTTTCATGTTGACTTCAACACATCTATGGCACTCAATGCCTTTGGACCTCAGTGGCCATGAAACAAACATTACTCTTTCTTGATCATCTCATATACTTTGTCATTTAACTCAGTGCTAATATTACCAACAGAACAACCATCCCCTTTAATTTACAGGTTTTATCTTTAGAATAACATAAAAGGAGTGCAAAATGACTCGCCACATGGCTTACATTTCACTTTCATCTATTCAACTGATAAACTATATATGTCATACTGTCACACAACTGACTTTATGTCTTTCAAGAACTGATGTCATAATTGCCATGTAAGCAGTTATTTAGATGTTGCAGATATGGATCATTCGCTAAATGTTTTCCTGATCTAGCATGTAGTCAAAGTAGCATAACTTTAGCTTCAATAGCACAGCCTAGAACACTTTATCTTATCAACTCAGAATCAACTAAACCTCATTGTCACACCGATTAACGGTTTTAAGGAACTAACAGAAACTTCCCTGCAATTTTAAAACAAAGTGGCTTTATCTTAATCCCAATTTAAGTACATAATGACTCAATAGGTTTCAGATCCATGTCCCTCTTTGCTTTGTTTTGGGATAATTGATCAAATAAAAAAACGTATTTTTTGACATTTACTTTTCTTCAAAATTTGGTGTGTAATGATATACAGAACTAACTAGCCTGCATATCTAGACTAGTTAAGAAATTAAAACAGCCTTACATTTACATTTCGATTTATTCATTTAGCAACCGCTTTTATCCAAAGCGACTTACAATTGGGGAATACATCAAGCGATTCATCTTAAAGAGGCAAAGAGACACAGGAAGTGCTCGTCATACCAAGTTTCAAGCATTGTTCAAATAAGTACAAACTAGACAGAGAAAGATGAAAGAAAAGAGAAAAAGATTTATTATAATTTTTTTTTAGGATGAAGTCAGATAGTGACGAAAGAGGTGAGTTTTCAGCTGTCGCTTGAAAAATGTCAGGGAATCAGCATTCCGGATAGGGGTTGGAAGATCATTCCACCAGCCAGGAACGGTAAACGAAAATGTTCTGGAAAGTGATTTTG